CAGTAGGCCAAGGCTGCCATCCCGACTGCTTTTACTTCTCCATCCAGTAGTTCCCACAGTACTAAAGATATCTGTATTAGACAGGGACCCTGTATTGGAGCCATTTGACCAATAAGTGAATCATAGAGCAAGCATTCGGGATTTTGGAGCAAAACTATAACACCTTCTTGAGAAAAAAAGTCTTGAATAGCAGTTTTAACCTGGAAGCTTGATCGTGGGCCATCAATTTATACAACCTGAATTTTCCACAATGAATTCAATGTTGTCAACCCAGCAAGTGTCTAAGTTGGGCATGAGTGGCAGTGTCCTATTGTCAAATGCAAGGGAATCTATGAGACCAAGCACAAGCATGCTGGATAAGCAAGCGACTGGAACACCCGCAGTCTGCTTCGGCACCCCAGAACTTCTATCTGGGAGCTCATCGGAAGTTTTCAGTGATGGGTGGACTGCAGCATACTTGATCCCCTTAGAGACTGTGCACACCAGCTTGGTGTCATGCAAACTAAATGGCTACATCCTTGCAGCCAGGCTCTGGGTGACTGGGAGGAGAGGCAAAGGAGAGGTTTCCGGTGGGCACATTTCTGCAGTGCACCAGGTCCTTCCTTGGGCCTGAAAGGAGAAAGCACTGCAGATGTGGCTCTCCACTGCTTCACGGGCAGCAGTCAGTGGTTGGGGGGATAACTGGGGACTTAGAAGAAAGCTGGTGACAGGAAAGTGGGGGAGATGGACCAGTGCCTCTGAATGGGCACAGTGTTCAATGCGGATGCTCAGCAAAGCCAGCTCGGGAGAGAAAGATCTCAACAGCGGCAGGATGATACTTTCTGTGGACCTCCATCAGGTCACTCTGTCCAGACCCTTCCTTCTTTGATCAACTGGGTCATGAACAAAGTAGCCATGGTATAGACATGTAGGATGTGCATGAGGCCAGCAGTGCGAATTTCCACCAAGCAAGACCAAGGTTGGTTTGGCTATAGCCACTGGTACATGTCTGACTCGCCAAAAGCAAGGCCAACTCCACGTCCCAAAGTAGCACCACAGTCTGGGGGAACAAGCCAGCTCTGACAGCAGGTCAGTCACTGGGATCTCTTCCAACATGGAAGGGCTGTGGTTTGTTCTCTCTCCACAGAAGCTCAGTCTTCATCTGGATTCGCCTTTCCTGCCTACAGTACTTTTGCCAAAATCAGCATCTCTGAACTTATAGAATTCTTACATCTTATTCACCATCATGTTTTTCCACAGTGCTTTGTTTCTTGCCAAGGAAATTATCATGTGGTAAATTAACTGTGGCAAAGGCTCACACTCATAGAATTCATTAGTCTTTGCATGTGCTCCATCACTTAGAAGCAGCTGAAAGGTGGATTGGTTCTTCTGACAATTCAGTTTCTGTGCTAGATGGATGACGCACTCAACAGGGCCAGGCTAATGTTCTGGAAGATGCAATACATACTCTAAAACATCCGTACTAGAGAAAGATCCTGTAGGTAGAAGCTTCATTTTCCTACTGTCCTTACTTGGACATCCCGAATGGTGGACAGAAGTGAGGCTGAATGGGCAGGGTGCCAAGGGGTGGACTGTGGTGGCCACATCAGGAACTTCAGTTCCCACACCTACAGTTCCCTTTCCTGTCTCCCGTGGGTTAAGCTTTGGCATAGGGGAAATCTGCACGAGGCTGGAGGAACAGAAGGGAAGCAGCAGCACTGTACTCTGGAGGGGCACCAGGTTCTAACATAACTGCACACAGTTTCATTACCGCAGCTCACCTTGACTTGGGGAAACAGCTGTGGTAGCGCCTCCTGAAGCTCACTTCAAGTTCCTACACTTAGCTTCACCAAGTCCAGGTGAGGCACATGTTCAGCTCTGAGGCAGAGGCTCCCAGATCCATGGAGCTCCACCCAGGCTAATACAGGGCTGAGGTGGGTCCTCATTTTTCTTCCTAATTCCTTCTCCTTCAAACTCCTCTACTTCATGGCAAGTTCATCTCCTGGGTGGCCACACTGGCCCCGAGACTTCCAGCCATGATCAGACAGAAGCAATGCTCCCCACTGGCATCTCACTCAATCCCACAGTGACCTGCGCTCTGCTCCCTGGAGCCAGCTCATTCCACACCACCCAGTGTTTCTGGTGCTGATCAAACCCAACATGAGTCTCGAAGAACACATTGACAAAGGTGGGCTCTGAGGAGGAAATTGAGGCTGGGGCAGCACAGTACCCACACCCTCCTGTGCCCCATTAACCCCTTTGTCACTGCTCACCCACCTGCCGGCCAGGGCTTATTCTTTTTCTACCACTCCCTTCCTCCCCTGTCCATGTCACAGCTGCCTCCTTACAATCAAACATCTGGCACTGATGTCACATGTTTGAGGGGATCCCACAAATGCCTATGGCTTATTTACAAGAGCCTATCCACCACCATGGTGAAGGCCAATGTTGCCTGATCGATGCTCCATTTGGTTTGCCTTCCAGAAGGTGTCTGGTTAGGGCACTTTCTTAGCATTCTTAGTCAGTTGTAGAGAGAGGTCTGGCTCCTAGGTCTTTACTGATGTAGGTTTTCTCCCCCCAGTTTCCTCCTGTTTCAATAGGTGTTCAGAAGGTCATAAATCCCCCTTTGCTGCCCGCATGTGACTGCGGGTCCATACCTTCCTCTTTCACCCTGCACACATCCTCCCGGCTCAGCCTCCTGCCTCCCGCCCTCCCCATCCACCCTGTCCAGAAGCACTGGCAAAGGCCGCTTGTTCCTTGCAGTGCTGACTCCACCTTGGTGAGGACTCCACTGCTGGGAAAGCATCAGCATGCCCACAGCAGCTGGTCTGCTCCACTTAAGGTACAGTGCTTACTGTGCCTGCTTTTTAAAATTATTAGCTACCTTACAGATTCTACTGAATGATTGAGCTCAGCAGCACCACACCACCCTCCCTGGCTGGGGAGCCATGACTCATCGGTCAGAGGCACTGCTTTCTGAGGAAGCTCTCTAGCTCAGCCCGACAGCAGCCAGGAGCTAGCAAGGCCCAGAGGGCAGGGAGTCCGGACTCCAGAGAAGAGGCTGGGTTTCTGCACTGTTTTCATGAGTGGTCACCACTCCTCAGGGAGGGGTGGAGGGCGAGTGACTCAGAGCAGATTAGTGCAAAAGACCTGTGTCCCTCTCAGAATTCTCGGCATGCAGGCTGGCAGGATTCCTGTCCACCTCAGGACTGACTTTCTCCCGAAATCATAAGCCTCAGAAAACATAAATCATTTCCACGTAGCTAAAGAACAGAAACTGTATCGACTCTTTCCCTTGTTTTGTGGAAAGAAAGGAAGAAAGGAAGAAAGGAAGGAAGAAAAAGAAAAAGAAGGAAAGGGAGAAAAGGGAGAAAAGAAAAAGAGAAAAAAAAATTTTACATTATGAGAAATGTGAAATTCAAATTTAAACAGAAAAAAATATCTGGCAAATTACTATATATTTTAAATCATTAATTATGTATCTAAAGCTGATATGCTCTTTAAATATGCTCTAGCACCAAGGAAATAGCCTAACAAATTGTTAGAGTAAAACATACCATAATGAGGACTCACTCTTCGCTTGATTAACACTTCCTATCAAACTAAAAGAATCCCAAGCAGTTCAGTGAATTCCAGTTAAATTCAATCTCCTCTTTTCTAATCATAAAAGAAAAATCTAAATAGCTTTTAGCCAAAAGTTATTTAAAATATAAAAGGCAAAATATCTTGTTATAAAATTCGTAAGCAGACGTGCACCAAAATATTGATGTCAAAGGCAATCTCGGAGAAGCAGACACACCAAGGGTCAAGCCCGACCCCTGCGAATCTCAGCAGGCCGCACACCTGTCACCATGTCCCTCTGGACATCTGTTGTCACAGAACCCATGGACCCCAGGGTCTGAAGGTCAGGAATGGGCCCTCAGGCAAGCTGACCCCACACAGAGGTTGTGCCGCTGGGAGCAGAGAGGGAGAGACGTCAAGTGACAGAGGGCCCCCGGAGGAGGGAGGGACCGTGAGGACCAGGAACTGCAGGCCCGAACAAAGGTGTACTACAGGCTTCCAACTGAGCACCACATCGGGCGACCTGGCTCAGAGGCAGGTGGGAAGCCCGAGCCCGCTCTGGCCTGTGGGGGGCACGGGAGCCGCATACTGGGTGGGACGGCAGATGACACCATGGCACCAGAATGGCGGCTGCACAGGTGCACGCGGGTGCGTCGGGATCCCGGAGCATCCCCCTGTGCGCCCCGTCCCTGTCCCTGGACGAGGTCGTGTGTCTCATTTCCCCCTGCGTTTGCTGCACGGGTCGCTGGATATAAGGGGGTCGTGATGCTGAGTTGAGGTAAAAGAAGAGGGAGGAAAAAACGACACGTCCCGAAATGAGTTTCATTTATATAATGAAAATAAATTTTTACACAATCAACAGAAACACACCAAGGTTTGTTGGTTTTTTTTGCGAAAAATATTTTTAAATAAATTTTTGCCTTTTTTTACATTCTGATATACATATGTAACAAGGTTTTTATGGCACTGTAACCAGAATTAATCAAAAGGGAAAGGTGGGAAGGAAGTTAGTAGCGTGTGGAATCCCTTCCCCGGCTGGCAAATTCACCCCGTCAGCCACTCACGCCAGCCTCAACTCCCTGCACACTCAAAACACCGCATTATTGCACTGGAGCCCGTGAAGGCAGGCGGTGTAATGGTCACTTCCCTGCTATTCAAAAGATCTCTTAAACCAGAGAGGGGGAAAAGATCCAGAGCACGAAACACACAGAGTAACGGCGACTCGGTCTCTTTAGAGAAGGCAGAAGGGTTCTGGGGCCACCGCGGCTCCGATCGTCCCTGCAGCCGGCACTCGGGGCGTGGGTGGCGGGTTTGGTTTCCTATGTGGTGGCCGGGGGACCCGAGCCTGCAGCATTCCATGTCTCGCTCCTCACTTTGGGTTCTTCTGAATTGGTTTAAGGTTTGGTATCTTCGGTCTATGAACCTGCACAGACTATTTAGTTGTAAACTCTACAAATAGCTTAAAAGGAAAAGGGGAAGAGCCAGTTTTATTACATTTTTATCGTTGGGTTAACAAATGACTTCTTTAACCTTCCTGCTTGTCACTTTGCAGGAAGTGAATCTCAATGGCCTCAAAAGTTACAGTCTTTCACACTTGCTAAAAATAAAAAGTCTTTCAACAAATTTGCTTCCATTCATGAACTATACCCCAACTAAAACAGAGAAAGAGAAAGAAAACTGACAAAACCCGAATCCATCCTCCCCCGGCCCTGGCGGGAGCACCTGCCCCATGCCGGTGGTCACACGACTGTCTCCACGCCCATGAGCTTGGGCGTCAGGATCCGTGGGGTCACACCATTGTTGAGGTCTTCCTCGAACTCCAGCAACTGCCCCATGAAGTTAAGGTTTGGGGAAATAATTGGTCGTTTGCCTTTGACGAATTTGTACGCATCCGTCATGGTCATCCACGTGTGCTTCATTAGGTAGGCGATGACAATGGTGGCGGACCGTGACACGCCGGCCTGGCAGTGAATGAGGAGCCCCTTGCCACACTGGTGTGCCTCCTCTGGATGGGGGAGAGAGGAGAGAGGTCAGCCCGCCCCAGCCACACCACAAAAGACACGGGGGCACCGGATCGGGCCAGAGTGTAGGCCCGACCCGCACAAGCAGCTACATCAGAGGCTACTCGGCCCCTCCAGGAGGGGGAAGACGACACACAGGCACTCAGGGAGGGAGTCTGGGGACCTACGTCACCCAGCCGGCCTTCTCCCACACCCTGTTCTTGTTCCCTTTGCTCGTTTCCTGGAGTCGCACGACTGAGAGAAGAAAGGAGGGAGGCGGGATGCTGCGGGCACAGGCACAGGTACACACCACTGTGTGCGTGCGTGTGCAACGTATTCCCTCTCCTGCTGGGGCAGGTTCACTCCGCCTGCCGGGCCACGCGTAGTGTTAACAGCGTCCCTCCGTCTGTGTCAGAGAACGAACACACTGCTCCCTTCATGCTCTAGAGCTGCTCCGCTCTGTCCAGCAACCATCCGGAGGGGGTGAGACTCAGCCCTGCCTAACCTGACCGAGGACAGAGGAAGAGGCTCCACTGAACAGTGCTCCTTTCAGCTTCTCACCCGAAAACACGGCTGCTGCAGGGCTGCCTCAGATTTGCAGCGTAGGGCTAGTGCCCCCTCCTGAGCACCCAAATGTCCCACCCTAACCCTAGACACTGCTTAGTTCCTATGAGACTCTCAGAGACTGTCATTATGCTGCTAAAACCTGCCCTGCTTTCCCGAAAGGAAACCGATAAGATCTCAGTTTATACAACAAGATGACAATGGGCAAAAAATTCTGCCCCCGTAGGCTGTGATTCTGAATTGTTCTTCAAGCTAAATGCTATTTGTTATTGGTTTTGTCTTCCTTCTAAAAACAAAATTAAAAAGCCAGGTAAACCTGAGTAATCTATAAGGAAGCAAGCACTTTGGTTGAAGTCCTATTAGAATAAGCATTCTTATGCTGTTCGTTAAACAGCAAACAATTTCCCAACTTCCTCCACCTGGAGTTAAGTCCAGGGGAATTGCAGCCATGACATCGGATATGGAGCAGGAAGTCCCTCATCTCCTCAGCGCAGATTTCCTCATCATGACTCCAGGCCAGAGGAGGCATCTGTGTGCCCTGCATTGCTGGCTGGTGAGGTAATGCTGCCCTAGCTCGCTGTGGAAAGGCTGTCAGGGGCCCTGGGCCCTCTCTGTCAGCCCCACAGCGTGGAAAAGTCACCTCTCCCAGTCCATGGCCGCCTTGAGTTTCCCTCCACCCTGAGCACCCCGGGGTCCCACACCGCAGGCACCCTGGCCAGGACAGCAGCCAAGTCCACCAGCATGGGTTAGACCCAAGGCTTCCTTCTGATAGAGGAGCGGCAGCCCGGAGTGTGTGCTTCCCGGGATGGAGGCGGGAGCAACCCGCAGCAGCACCATCCCATCGAGGAAAAGTACCAGGCACTGCTCAGGGCAACAAAGCTCGGAGTCGCTTGACAGTGTGGGCTATCTGCCGAGCAGAAGTGTTCCCCAGGGACCACCTGAGCCCCACGATGGTTTGAGCAAGAATTTTCCTCCTTGGGACCTACTGGGGGTAACCCAACCTGACCTTTCCCAGGTCCCTGAGGGAGGGGAGGCCAAAGGAAACCTCGCTCCAGCTCACACATGTCACTGGCTGCTTTCTGTTAGGCAGTGTTTAAGAACCGAGAAAAGCAGGTAGAAAGAAATGTCCGGGGCTGTGTGGCCTGCTCGACCGGAAGAGCTTCAGGAGAGGAAAAGACCTCACATCACAGCGCTCCATGCATGTCCACCTTCACACCCCTAAATCTCAGCAGCAGCCTAGACATCTATGAACAGACAGACGGATGGGGAAAGCATGACGGGTAGACACACACGCACATACAGGAGCACTGTTCTGCCATAAAGGACAGACTCGAGTCCGTGTGAGAAAATGGAGGCATTTGAGACCATGCTGTGAAGTGAAGTAAACCAGACACACAAGCTTAAGTGCTGCATGGATTCTCTTATATGAGAAACCCAACACGGGAATAAAAAGCAAAGTAAAAGAGACATAATAGGAAACGGAGACAGATCTTTCTCGAAGGGGAAGCGGACTAAGATGGGGGCAGATGCAAAAAGAATAAAGCTGTGCCGTGTCCCTGCCCCAGCTCCCCGTGATGAGCACGAGCCTCATGAACTAAGGTGGACTAACGTACATAAAAATTTTAAAAATAAACACTCTCCAACCTTCAGGACCAGCCTCAGCAAAGGCGACCTTTCCCCTGAACTCCAGGAAGAGGCCACAGGGACGGCAGCTCAGTTTACCTGAGGGAAGCAGCCCCCAAGGGCCAGGTGGAGCCGGTACCCGGCAGGAGGGGGACACAGCCAGTGTCCCTGGCCCGAGGGTGAGCATTTCTAGGTGGTCAGACCCAGCCACACGAGTGTCACTGGCGGCCGGGACCCAGGAGGGCTTGGTGACAGCAGGCAGCCCAGGAGCACACCCAGGCCTCGTGGCCCGGGCGGAGGCCGGAGGGCCACTCACCGATGAACTCGAAGGCCTCCTCGAAGTACTGCCGCAGGTTCTGCTTGCTGCTGTCGGTGGCCGGCAGGCGCTTGTAGCTGAGCAGCCCCTTCTCGCAGTGGTAGAGCGGCAGGTGCGTGGTGACGTTGATCACGTAGCCAATGTTGAGCCGCTGCATGGTGTCCAGGTCCTGCGCATCCTGCTGGTTGCCCAGGAAGAGGAAGGGCAGGACGGGCGTGAGCTCTGCACCCTCGATGTCCGGCGTGCTGGGCCCGGGCCGAGGCAGCAGGCTGGGCGCCGCCGCCCCCCCGCAGGCCTCTCGACAGTGCTGCAGCTGCAGGGAGTTGTCGCACAAGTTCTCATGGCTCTGCCTGAAGCTGCTGAGCCCCCCTGCGCAGACACAGAAAGCCACGGTGATCATGGGGGCTGTGCATGGGGCGCCGCTGCCTTCAGGCTGGGGCTGCTGTTGGGGACGGGGCTCCTAGATGCCTGAAACCAGCGCAAAAGCTGGGGTCTGCTTGGGCCCCCGGACCAGTCTCCCTCCCTGAATTGAGGGCTTCAGAACACGCTTCTTTGTGGGTACTGGGGGTTGATCCCAGGGCCTTTGCACTGAGCTCCATCCGCAGCCCTTTTCAAAGCTTTTGAGACAGCATTTGGCTGTAAGTTGCCCAGGCTGTCTCTAGCTTGTGACTCTCCTGACTCAGCCTCCCAGAACTTTGGGATTACAGGGAACACCACTGGTGCCAGCTGAGAATGTACCCCTCAGACCTCCTGTGCCATGAGGCAGGGAGCAGGTCCCACCCAGAATTAGGCTGCCCACCTGCCTGGAGGCCTGCAGAGACCCTGTGCTGGGCAGAGGGAGCAGGGAGCAGCCTCCATCTCAGACCAAGGCCCCCATTCAGCTCAGCCTGCCCAGAGTGCGCCCAGCAGGGTGGCTGCCAGCAGGAACGGTGGAGGAGCTGGATGCCTCGGTTATATGCCCAGTGCCAGCAGCCCCTGGCAAGCTCATCTCTCCGTGCCCCAGTTCCCCATCTGTTAGGGTGAGGCCAGGGGCATCTGGCTCTGGGACACATAAGAATGGGTGAAGGGTCGCGTGCATCTCTGGGGGCACACGGTGGCTCAGCAAGAATTTCATTAATGTCGTGAATGGAATTACACAAGGCTCAGGTACGGAGAGATGTCTGGAACAGACAGCATGGGGCCGGCGGCTGGGTCCTGAGGGCTCCTGTTTGGGGTTTTCCGCCTCACCTTCCAGGGGCGTGGGGTCTGAGAGCAGCACCTGCCCCGTGCGTGGCTGGTGGAGGTCAGGAAAAGCCCAGCCCATTGGGAAAACGCGATGTAAGAGACACACGAACCCAGGCTCACTGTGCCCCATTAGCTATGTATGGGTGCAGCCTACAGACTTCACCCATTTTGAAATACAAACTCGCCCTCCCCACCCTGAACAAGTGTCATCTTAACTTACAGGGATGAATATCAGGGAAACCAGAGCCACATAAGCGGAGATGCTAGCCACCGTTTAGCCACAGTACTTTCTGTTTAATGGAAAGGCCAAGAGAAAAGCCAAAGAAAGACTTCTATAAAAGCAAACACTATTATTCGTTCCGTGGAATAATACACAGGCATTAAAAGAACAGTTGAGAAGCAAATACAAGAGCCAAGAGAACACTTCTGTGTAATAACAATACATGAAAAGAAAGCTGGTTCAAAACATTCCGCAAAAGATGAAGGACTATGCAACAGGAACAGAAATTTAGTTCACTAAGTTTTCCTCTGATGTGTGTTGCACACGGAGGAGTACCGTGAGGCTCAAAGTGTACAAGTAAGGGCCGCAGAATGGGGCTGCCGTCTTCCCCGTGTGCTGTCGTTCTAACCGGACAGAACGGGACACTCTCTGGCCTAGTCTTTCAAGGGGGAGAGACAGGAAACCTCCATTCGCTGAAAGCCATCAGGACGCAGCAGCTGAGCCCAAGGACAGATGCCTCGAGCCCTCTCACCGTCCCAGAGACACAGCAGAAAGCAGCGTCCAAAAGAGGACGGGAAGTCTGTGTGCCCTGCGTGTGCCCCGCTCCAGTCTCTTCCGGCCTGGCCTAGCCTAGCCCGCGTCCGGGGCGTTCACAGCCTGGACGGGCGGGCGAGCGGACACGTCCTCCCATGGGGAGGTGAGGGGCAGGTCCACGGCAACTCCAAGGGCAGTGCCACAGCCCCTTTCTGTGCCAAACCGGCTAAAACCCAAACCGTCACTTTTTGAAGACAAAGAGCGAGCTGTAAACTCACACTGACTGATGTCTACGGTTACATGCGCTCCTACGGATGGCTTTGTTATACGGAAACAACAGTTGGAGCCCAAAGAGAATTTTCCAAGTCCAAAGAAATGTGAAAAAGCAGAAGAAACTTCACCAGCGGACACTTCAAAAAATAAATAAAAACCACCCAGTGCCACCATCCGGCACTCCACGGAAGGGCGCTCAAAGAGTTATTTGAAAGTCTGCTCAGCTTTACCGCCACAAAAATCCAAGTAAACAATTCCACGCTGATGCTGCGATGGGAACTTAACTCATGCTTTCTCGTCAGAAAAGGGCGGCTGTGACATTTTTCCACATCCGATGAGAGAATACAATGACAAGCTCAGAAGAGTTTCTTAAGGAGGAGAAAAAGAAAAACTTTCTTCTTATTTAGGGCGCGTGAGCTGTAATTTGTCTTAAAAGTAGCAAGTTAAAAAAGAAAGGGGGAGAGTCTGCCAGGAAACCCACACTCAGAAAAAACACCCCAGGCTTTTTAAAACTGTTTCTCCCCCTCCTCCCCATGACATCAGCCAGGCCCCCACCTGCCCTGTTGCCATGGCAGCCACACAAAGACACACAATGACATCAGCTGGCTCCGTGTCAGCTCCCTGAGTCCAAACAATGCAAGAAGAACCACTCTGTGCAAGGCCTTTGGTGCACCCGTGCCCCGGGAGGCTAGTGACGTAAGGCACAGGTGGCAGGAGGTTGGCGGCCGGGAGGGCTCCTGTCCCAGGGCCACGTGCACAGGACTGTGAGTGTGCGGGCATGTGGGACGCGGGCCGTGCGAGGCTTGGAAGGAGAGCAGAGAGCGAGGGCGTCGCTGTGGCTCCCCGAAGCAGACAGGGCACCTGGGGACGCTGCAGGTCCGCTGGGCAGACGCTGGACGAGGAATGGACGGTGGTCCCACAGCGGCGTTGCGGGAGCTCAGGAGAGGAGTGGGCGAACATGGTTTCCTCCGCCAACCACTTCCTGCCCGCCTTCCCCGCCAGATGCCGCCGGGGCCAGGGCGTCATGCTGCGTGGGGAGCTCTGTGCCCTGAGACGCCCGTGTCAGGACTTCACCTCTCAGGGCCCAGTGCGCTCACCCCGCCCACAGGCACATGCTCCCCAGGGCCATTCTGAGCGGGGCCTTTCGGGGAGGCCTCTGGGGTCCAACCCCACCCTGCCAAATACCAGTGAAGTCCCAGGCAGGGTCCTCACCTCTCCCTGCCTCGGTTTCCCCGTGTATACAGCAGGAAATGTGACACTGCCTACCTCAGAGGATTAAACTGGCCAATTCTAAAGTACTCTGAAATAACATCTAGCACATAGGAAGGACTTTTCTTATTGCTTTGGGAAAGTACCATTTTAAAATCCTTTTTTAAAAATTTGCTTACTATATAGACACACCTGTAATCACAGCACTCCGGGAGGCTGAGGCAGGGGTATTACACATTGAAAGTCAGCCTCAGCAACTTAGCAGTGTGGCCAGATTTTGTCTCAAAATAAAAATGTGCCGGGGACACAGCTCAAGGGTGAAGACCCTGGTCCAATCCCCAGTAGCACATTAAAAAGAAAAAAAGACTCCAAATGATATGCTAATATTCCAGAGTTCTTACTTCTAAATTTTTTTTTTTTTTTTTGTACCAGGGATTGAACTTGGGACCTTGCGCTGGCGAGGCAGGCGCCGGAACCACTGAGCTAAATCCCCGGCCCCACTTCTAAATTTTTATTTAGAGAAAGAACTACGAACCAACACTCCTGAGCAGCTTGAAGTGTGCGTGCTATGGTCTTACACGAAGGGAGCCGCAGTCCCCTGTCCAGCCTGAACAGCTCTGCCTGGCTTCATTGTATTTGCCCTGAGTGCCCAAGAAAGACTGCACGCCCTGGATTCCTGGTTTTCCAGACAAGACTGGATTATGAAAATAAACCTCCTCTTCTTCATCCTGCCTCCTCCCCGAACCCCCCACCCCGGCCGCCTTCCCGAGCAGAGCCTGCGGGAATCAGTGCCTGTGCTGGGTGAAAGCATCTTTAAACCTCGCCTCAGAACTGGCCTCTCCACCCTCAGAGGAAATGCACGGGAACCACACACCTGCTCCTCCCAGGGCTCAGCGAGAAGCCAGGGAGTCCAGGTGGGGAGCGACCTGGTGTCAGCTGGGTTTCAGATCCCGCTGCCGCTGGGGCACTGCAGGAGCCCTCGGCAGTGTGACTAGGAAGCAGGGCTGGGCTGCAGGGTCACAGAACCCAGGTCTGCATCCGGAACCCCTAAGCAAGGGGCTTGGATGATCCAAAGATGGACAGTGCTTCCACACACACCCTTTTGGTTTTGTGCTAAGTTGGAAAATGAGCGCTTCCCAGAAATGCCAGGAAAACCTCCCTCAGAGGTCAGCAAACAGGATCCATGTCCAGAGAAGGGGCTTCCAAACTGGGCTCTTCTGCAAGTCTGCTTGTGGCATACCAATCACCTGTTGCTCCTGTTGTCACCTCATCTGCCTCACTGGGTGACCAAGCTTTGAAAATCAAACAGTGCTTTGGTGACAATGGGAGCCTGAGTGGGTTAGGATCCCGACTCCAGTCACCTCCCAGCGCTGCAGGATTCTGAACACCTCCACCCGAGGCTTCCAGCCCTGCAGGTGGATACAACAGCACCTCCTTCCGGGCTCCTCACAGGTGCAGTGCTGCAGAACCGCCATGATCGGGAGCAACACTGGGTGACGTGAGAAACTGGAAGTGTGGAGGTGACCAGAGACTGAGGACCAGAGCCAGCCTGCGGGCCCCGGGCAGGGACGCAGGCCAGGCCAGAGCTGGGCCTTGGGGTGGGGGTCTCCCTCGGAAGCTCCTGAGACTTGGTTCTTCATGGCCCAATTTCAGTAGAATTGGTGGAGGAGGGGACATATATGCTTATCAAACAGTAAAATGTGCGTTCCTAGAGAAGAATTTTCTTGGAATACTTATTTATACACACACATTATATATACACATATATATCATACAGAGAAATTTTAGACAAAGGTCTGAAACATAGAAACAAATGTGAAGTATATTATACACTCCCTATACTTCTATTTGCTCCATAAGTTAAGTTATGCACAGGAATATATAATGTCATATATAACATTTCTCTGCTTCTATTTCCTCACTAAATTGAAGTGTTCACGATTTTTCTCAGGTGTCTCTAAAAAGTCAGTTTCTGCAAGCTCACACACATGCAGACACACAGCCTGTCGACAGCGAGTCCACCCCGTGGAGATGCCCACTTCCGACCCTCCTTCTGTGCACTTCCTGATGAGCAGCGCTGTCCCTGGGGGGCGTCTCCGAGCCCAGGACCTCCTCCTCTGCCACAGGAGGACAGGGAGCTGCTCATGCGCTGGACACCAAGGGGAGCCACAGGGACAGGCATAGGCTAGGTGGGCAGTGTCTGTATGGAAGCAATTGATTAAACAATAAAGCAAAGGGGTTTTGCTGGTGTCTACCTTAGTGACAAGTGACAGGCAGACATCAATCCCAAAGCACCCATCACAAAACTATCTCCTACAAGAGACCAATGATCAGTTTTGATCTTACCTCATATTAATTGGACCTAGTTGTATTTAGCAGTTTTAAGGGAGAAAAGAAAATTCCTACAAAATCTATACCAGCACTTGATTGAATTTTGAGCTTATTGAGTCTTGTTTTGGGATTTTCTGCCGGACAAAGTCCCATCATTTAGCTCAATGATGCTTCCGGAAGGTGCACTATCCAATCCTTGTCACTCTGGCTTCATCATGATTTTTCTTGCCCTCAGATTTGTGACATTAAAAATTCCAGCCTTCTGGGAAGAAGCTGATGCTCAACGGTGAAGTCACTTACCCAGATATTATGGCTTATATCTAGATCTCCCCCAAAGCCTCATGTGGTCACAGGTGGGGCTTTTAAGAGGTGGAGGGATCTAGGGTGTGTGATGCTGGGATCAAGGGTGTGTGCTTACTAAGTTGGTCCGATTGGTTTGGCACAGGGCCCGGTAGGATTAAGGGTGCCCCACCCTGGGTGGGATCGATACCTGCCCCAAGGGCATGTAGTCTGGACAGAATATAAGGGGCAGAAAGAGGCTGCTGCCACGGCTTGCTGCTGCTGCTTCTGCTGTTTCACTACTTTGCTGCTTTGTTGCCTTGCTGCCTTCTACCCTGCCATGGACTGTTTCTCCTCTGTCCTGCTGCCCTGCCTTGGAGCCAGCTGACTATGGACTGAATCCTCTACAAACTGTGAGCTAAATAAACCTTTTCTCCTTTAACTTTGGGGGTTGAGTATTTGTCTCAGCAGTGAGAATAGTAAGTAACCTAGACCCCAGAACAGAGAACAGTGGCCTGCTCCTTCCCCAGCTTTGTCTCCTGAGCAGTGTGCTTCCTTCTCATGGTCTGGCTCTGCCAGCTTCTACTATTATTTTCAATCACTACAACTATTTTGGGGGGGGGGGAGACTTTTGTAATTTTTTCCGCTGTCTTCAAATATATTGCTTCCTTCTTTGATAAAATCTTCACTAGACTCTCAAAAGAAAGTCTTGCCTAAATATTTACCTCTCTCAAGTGGACTGATAGGAAAGATAAAGGATTTGAGAACTGTGATCTTTAAAAATTGAAACAAAGCTTTCTTAGAAAACCCTCCCAGAAAGGCTAATCCCAGAGGTGTTTGAGTTTAAAATCCCCAGCCCCCAGGTCCCCTCTAACCACACAGGTGCCTCAGAGGGGCTGGGAACCGAATCTCACCCCACCAAGGGGGTGCCCTCCAGAAGCTGTCCTACCCTTCCCCTGTAGGGCTCGGGAGAAGCCAGTTTGGGAGAGCAGGCCTCGTTTGTGTACATTTGAATAACACTGGCAGAATGTTCCGGAGGATCCCCCACCTCTGTAAACACAGCCTGCTCCTTCAAATCTGTTACCTCATGTATTTACATTAGCACAGAAAGCTCTGACAGAAGCAACAGCTGATGACACTCCCGCAGTTTTCCACAAAGGCTCCAATTAGGCGGCTTTGTGTTACTCTAATGAGCAGATGACTTGGAGATGAGCGAGTCCAACTTAAGTGCACAGGGCTCAGGAACCCCCAGGTTGGGAGAAGCGGGTGCAGCTGAAAGGGGAAGAGAAAGGGCTGCTTCCCAAGGGGAGCCTAGGAATGCCTCAACCTCCCCTCCAGAGCTCCCCAACCCACCGGCGTGGATGGCTGGAGAGGTGGACGAGACCTGGGATGCTCTTCCATGAATCTACAGAGCATGCGTTCAACTTATTTTTGAAAAGCCAACTTGTGACCGGCTGTCTGCCAGGAAGCAGAGGAACAGAGGCTGGGGCTGGGTCAGGGCTGAGAGAAGACAGCGGGGTCCAGTCCGCACCTCACCGCAGGTGGGCCTCGGGTAGGCAAGGCTCAGTCTCCAGCCGCTCAGCATGCTCTGCCCCGGTCTGACCTCCTGCCTCCAGGTCAAACCCAGCCCAACACACGAGGGCCAGAGCAGGCGATGCCATGTGTTGGTGTCCCTTCCCTGTTCCCCAGCCCTCTCACCAGTCACACAGGTGGCACACAGGGGTACACACAGGCGACACGGGTGGATACACAGCCAGGGAGTCGCCGGTGCTTGCAGAGGAGGCTGATGAGATGGGCCTGGCGGGGGCCTGGAGGATGAGAGGGGCTGGCAGGCTTGGGCAGGACAGGGTCCCAGAGATCAGAGCGGGCGTGAGGGCCTCACAGTCGGTGGGGAGCAGAGCAAGCTAGGAGGAGGGGGAAGGGGTCTCCGGCTGGTCTCATTCTGAGCCCAGTGAGAGAGCCTGAATGGTCAAGAGTATATGACAGGTGGCCAATAAATGCTCAAGAGGAAAAGGGAGAGGGAGAGAAGGCGTGGCGCCACCAGCAGCACACCCACCCTCATCACTTGGGTCTGGGCCGTGTGTTGAAGGACCTGAGTCCAGCCTGGTGCTACAGGGAGGGGTGGAGCCTTCAGGAGGAATGCAGGGCTAGGGTTAGGGAACTAGGGCCTCCCCAGAGAGGGGGTGTGGGTGAGGAACCAAGGGCACATCTAGAAAAGGGGGTGCAGGTGAGGGATGGGCCTGGTCTCCTGTCTGCTTCCCACCACTTTGCACTACACCGGACAAGCAGTTCTGCTCCGCCACGCTGTGCTGCCCAAGGGCCAGACAGTGGAGCATGGACCATGGACAGACACCTGTGGAGCCGTGAGCCAGAACAAACCCTTCCTCCTTCCAAGCTGCTACCTCTGGATTTCATGAGAGTTTGGGAAAGCTGATTCACACAGCAACTTACACACTCCAAAGCTCACATGGAATTCTTCTTTCTTTCCCCGAATGCTCATGTTATGGACTAATTCTCTCTCTCAGAACTTCCGCTGTTGGTTCCCAGGGCTCGATGTGAGGGCACTGGAGACCAGGTGTGGACAGGCCTGGCTGGGGTCTTCATTGGGGCACCATAGGGCGGAGCCTTTAGAAGACTAGAAGAAGATGAGAGCACTGTGTGCTGATGTCCTCTCTGCCTCGGAGAACATGGCAGACAGGCAGCTGTCACACACCAGGACAGAGCCCTGGCTGGAACCCGGCAGTGCAGACTTGGGATCTCCACTTGCCGACTGGTGAGGATGTGCACGCCCTGGCCTGGGCCTGAGTCTTCCTGTCTTGTCCCAGGGTCTCTTCTGCTCCAGCCCCAGCATGGCACTGATGGGATGTGGCCTCACCAAGACTGCAAACTGAATGAACTCCTTGTCTTTCTAAAGTACCTGGCCCTGGGTTGTTTGTTGTAGCTGCAGAAATGGACTAATCCATCAGCCAAGCGTAGGAGCACCATTTCCATGAGAACCCCAGGAAAGCTCACAGAAGCGTAAATTGCAATGCCCACTGTTAAAGCCACACAGAGCCATGCGGGCTGCCCAGGCCAGAGCCATTCCTCAGAGTCAGGCCGGAAGCGGGCCGAGGTATGGATGGGAGTGCTCCCTGCTGGAACACAAATGCCCCTCAAAGCTGGTTCAGAACCTCAACTCCTGGGCAGGCAATGACACAGACTCAGGTCCTTTCCTAAAGCCATGTCCCTCTCATCACATGCACCCTTTACCAGAGACCAGCATCTGCCCACGCCCTCCAGATGACATCATTCTGGGCCCAGTGGACTGAAGCTGGAAGCTCCTCTACTACCGGTAAAACCCCACCTTCCTTGCCCTCTGAAAAGCTCCTTGCTGGTTAATCCATGGAGCTGGATTACACGAGAGGGAGAACGCCTCTCCTGAGAGGCAGGAAGAATGTGAACCAGAGGAGGGCTATACAACACAGCCATACTTCCCCCATGCATCCAACCAGAAGCTCTGACCAGAAATTGGCTTTGCTGTGGAGTACAGAAGTCTAATAACTGAGCGCTGCTAAACAAACAAACAGAGGAAAGCTATTCATTAACCCAGCCCACAGTACCCAGAGAAAACTGCTGCTTAACAACCCTCCCCCCAGGATCAACATTTATCTTAGACCCCAAATTAAACACATCACAGTTTCACAGCAAAAATGTGTTCCCCCAGGGGAGGCAAGTGAAGTCCAATTACATAACTCTCCACAGGCGAGGGCATCGTGCTGGGGTAGCACGCTCTCCGGCTGGCTGCGGAGCCTTCCGCTGGAAGCCCAGGCAGGAAAGGTCATCATCCGAGCCTGCTAGGGGTGAAGCCCAGGCCCCAGGGAGGCACGGCCTCTGCTTTCCACATCACCTGGAGGCCCGGGGAAGGGGAGGGGGTGGGGAAGCAATCAGACTCCTAATCACCATTAGGAGCCTTCTCCTGGACTGGCTTCCAGCTCAGAGGAGCGTAGCTGCTTCCTGCAGCCCTGGGGATGAAGACAGGAGACAGAGCCGTCCCTGCAGGGCACCAGTTCACCTCCAGCCGCCCCTGGGACAGGGTTTCCAGCACAGGAGCCTCTGGGGGCCGAAGACCCCGCGAGGGTCACAGAACAGGGACAGCAGGACAGGGGCTCCCAGGACGCAGGGACACCTACACCTCAAGGAAACCAGATCCCCGAGACTCCGTGCCAGGGTCCATCCCCACACACCCAGAGGCAGGCACTGTCCACCCGGCGTGCACCCACCAAAGCTGTACTCCTTCCTTGCTCACTGTTATTATGAAGTGTGAGCCCCAAAGCTGAGGCTGTCCTGGGGGACGCAGAGCATGACGTCCAGCGTGCAGGGCCGGGCTGCCCCATGACCTCCCTGTGACCTTGACCCCTTTGCCCTGTGTGTATAATAGAACCAACAACGCCCGAGGTTGCCCTGGTCATCATGGCAATTAAATGAGCTACTACTCGGCGTCCACAAGAACTGTAGCGTTCAGTGCTTAGCATCTGATGCGTACAGGAAGTTCTCATCAAATATTTTTAGGTAAATGAACATTGGGAGGAGACAGAAAGGGCCATTAGTTATGCGATGCTCATTCAGCATGAAGCTGGGAACTTGGGGATTAAAAATAGTCTCCCCAGGAAAGAAGGCAGGAACCGGAGCAGAGGCTGGTGGACAACGCTAAGGACCAGCTGGTCGCTGGCCTGGCAAGGCCATAGGCTGGGCATGCACAGGAGCGGCTTGGCCAGGGACCTCAGCTCCAGGACAGCACCATAACCCGCTGCCCCAGGCAGGGCAGGCTGGAGGGGTGGAGGAGTGCGGCTGGGTGCCGCTCCAGTGCACAAGCGGGTGCCCGGGAGCCAAGGCCTTTGTCCCTCTCCAGGCCTCCTGGGCCAGGCCGTGGGACAGACACCATGGTGCCGGGCAGAGGAGAGGGCAGGAGGCTGAGGAGGGAGAAGCAGCCTGAGGGCCCTCGGCAACAGGAAGGGACTGCTCAAACCAAGGGCTTGAGGGCTCACAGAAAGGTCACCATGGCTCTGGGGGCTGGCGGCCTTCCACCCAGACTCCTCAGCTGCACACAACACCCAGACAGGGCCCTGTGCCCTGTGCCCATGGCTCTGCTTCTCCTGCCTGCTGATGGAGGGACCCAGCACAGGTCTGTAGTCAGGAATTCCTCCCATTCCCCACCCTAACTCTGGCCTTCAGGCAGTCACTTAACCCTGTGGTCATCTAGAATCACATGATTGTCTCTAAAGAGCTTTTTTCCAAATCCAGGAACTTCCTCCTCTCTCAAGAAAGACTGCCTCAGGGCTGTGACACATTCTGGTGGCTCTCAAAGGTGGGCAAGGAACCCTCACAGCCTGGATCCCCAGGAAGGTGAGACCTTGCAGGCACACGGGGAGGGGAC